GCGGCAGAGCAGGGCATGGGACACCCGCGGAGTTGTGAAAAATAGCTCTGTTGGGTTGCTACGAGAGCTTGGGTTTGTGTTTTGGTGTGCTTGTTGTGGCATAAACTTGTGTTCTTTGAATGAATAGTTTTGACAAGAGCCTGGAGGAAAGGGTAGAAAGCTAGGAGCTGTGAATTACTGTCTTGTCGGGTTGCCAGAAGAGCTTGGGTTTGTGTTTTGGGTGGTTCAGGGTCAGGTAGCGCGCTGTGGGAGCAGCCGGAGTGAGCAGCAAAGAAGGGCATGGGACACCCTCGGAGTTGTGAAATATTTTCGTGTTAGGTGGCCAGAAGAGCCTGGGTTTGTGTTTTGGGGCTGTTCTTGGGTTCTGGGTCGGACAGCCACGTGCTCCAGCGGTGGTAGGGGCGAGCAGCAAAGAAGTGCATGGGAGAAACTCAGAGGTGTGAAAAATAGTTGTGTTGCCTTGCCAGAAAAGGGGTGGGAGGGCAGGAGTGAGCAGCAAAGGACATGGGAGAAACTCGGAGTCGTGAAAAATAGTCATGTTAGGTTGCTAGAAGAGCTTTGGGTTTGTGTTTTGGGGTTGTTCTGGGTCAGCTAGGGCACTGCAGGCAGCCAGGTACTCTGGGAGTGGCAGGAGTGAGTGTCAAAGAAGGGCATGGGAGAAACTTGGAGTTGTGAAATATTTCTGTGTTGGGTGGCCAGAAGAGCCTGGGTTTGTGTTTTGGGGTTGTTCTCGGGTTCCACAGATATTAGCTGCAGAAATAAAAGTAGCCATAGCATAAGTGGTCACAGTACCAAGCCTGACAAAGTTCAACAAGCATTTTGGACAATGCTCTCAGGCAGGTGTGATTCTTGGGGATGTCCTGTGCAGGGCCAAGAGCTGGACTCGATGATCCTATGAGTCCCTTCCAACTCTGAGTATTCTGTGACTGTGTGAAAAGCAATAAAGGAGTCCCTTGCTTAGTACAGGGGTACTCAGATCTTCTGAAAGAAGCAGTTAATCTATCCTTGAAAAATACAGGTTCTGGGTCCAGGGTGTAAGAATTTAAGTAATTCTTGTCTTCACTTCACAGGCTACCAGGTGACAGGCGTGTTCATGAAGAACTGGGACCCTCTGGATGAGCAGGGAGCTTGCTCCAGTGACAGAGATTGTGAGGATGCTTACCGCGTTTGCCAGAGGCTTGATATCCCGTTCCACCAGGTTTCCTACGTGAAGGAATACTGGAATGAAGTATTCAGGTATAAACACGTTTGCAGTAGATGGTCTCTCAGTATATTAGTGTGGTGCCATTTTATGGTGGAAAGCAAGAATGGACAGATAATCATAGAATTTTAGGCATTGGAATGGACCTTAGAGATCATCTAGTCCCAACCCCCTGCCCTGGGCAGGGACACCTCCCACCAGGCCAGGTTGCTCAGGACTTTATCCAACCTGGCTTTGAACACTACCAGGGTTGGAGCATCTACTACCTCCCTAGGCAACCTGTGACTGTGTCTCACCATCCACACAGTAAAAAGCTTTTTCCTAATACCTAACCTAAATTTCCCCTCCTTCAATTTGTACCTGTAGTGGGCAATGGAAATTGACTGCAGAATTACAAGTGCTGTGAGAAAGTCCTGAAGCCTGTTAAATATTGGAGGATTTTTTTCTCTCATTTGTGTTTAAGGTCACAATTTATATATTGGTTTTCATATGTTATTTTTTTATTGATAAGAGGTTTCTTCCTAGCTGTGAGTGTGTTGCAGTTGTTTTGTTGCAGATTGTTTCTTCAACTACCCGTGTACTGGCCCAACATTATTGCAGCTTGGCAAAGAAATATTTAATGGGGTGCTGTTACTGTCTCTGTGTGTAACTTTTGCAGTGCTTTTTATATTATGTGTACTGAATCCAGTTTGCCACAAATGATGATGAGCTAGCCTTGCTTCTTTAAACTTACAACAAATCTGAAACTGTTCTCTAAAGAGAGTGCTCAGACTTTCTGTGAGTTTGTTGCACTTTAGGGGAAGTTCTACTTAGGAAGAGCTGGGAGCTTTTCTTAGGAGGAAGAACAAAAAGGGATGCATTGGTATAACAACATAATTTATCTTTATGCACTGAACATCAGCACAGAAGAGTTGTTCCCTGATCATCTTCATCCCTCTTTAAGTAGTGCTGTTGTTACCTTAGAAGAAACTGAGGAATAACCTGGTCATGGTACTTCTAGTGCATGTTGAAATGGCACCAAGCTGAGAACTAAACTTCAGGTCAGTCAGGGAGGAAAACAGCAAAACAGAACATAATTTATCTTTATGCACTGAACATCAGCACAGAAGAGTTGTTCCCTGATCATCTTCATCCCTCTTTAAGTAGTGCTGTTGTTACCTTAGAAGAAACTGAGGAATAACCTGGTCATGGTACTTCTAGTGCATGTTGAAATGGCACCAAGCTGAGAACTAAACTTCAGGTCAGTCAGGGAGGAAAACAGCAAAACAGCTCTAGGAAAGTTCAATGTTGAAATGGCACCAAGCTGAGAACTAAACTTCAGGTCAGTCAGGGAGGAAAACAACTCTATTCTGGGAAAGTTCACTCCTTTTTTTCTTTTGGTGTGAGAGAATGGGTAAGTGTTATCAACCTTCTTGAGGTTGTGTGGGGTGTCTGTAAATTACACTGAACCAGAGATCACAGAAGATCAGCTTTTCTTTTGCTTCTCATCATTTATTAGTACAGTCTGTTACAAGTGACTTGGTTTGTTTCAGAATCCTTTTTTCTTTACTGTCATCACTGACCTTAAGTTAACTCCTCTGGTTCTCTCTTTAAAGGGTTATTCACCATAAAATGCCTTTTATCAAAAGAACTGTTCCAAGTCTTGTCTTTTCCATGGTTTTTGCAAAGCCTGTTTCAGATCTTTACATCAGAGAGGGATTCAGTAGGCATCCTTCATTGCCCTTTCTCTGGTGCTGTGCTTTACTAGGAGTTCTGAACTCATGTGAGCCTGGCTTGGTGTTGAGTCTTTTATATTATAAAACTCCCAGTGTACCATAAGAGTGTGGTGCTGAGGGAGCTCTGGGTAGACCCAGGTGTCATAGTTATTAGTATCAGTTGTTGAATTTGTAACTTTTAAAAAAGTTAGGCAAAATAAAAGATACGTTGCTTTATTTTCTGTTTAATATATAACATAGTAAGGAAGAAGCAACTGATTCTGCTTCAGTAAAACCAAGTACTAGGATTGCTGTTGTTCTTTTAAATCCAGTCTGTGCCCTTAGTTCCTCTTGACTTCAGTGGCTACTGAGGACAGGTAAAATGTTGTAGTCATTAGGCCTTTTGTTATCTCGAGGCGTCACTATATAGTGGTTTAATTATATTAGCTATTATTTCAATGTTTTGCAGTGACTAATGCTAAGTATTTTAATGGGGCACCAGTGTAAAACTGCAACGTAGCTTTGAGAAACTTTGAATTTCTAGAAGGAAAGAAAAAGGACAGGAAAGAAGTGTATAAAATGAAGCCCCATGGCTGACTGCCTACAGTGACATTATTGCAGATGAAGTTGTTGTCCATTCAGGTGAGACACAGTAACTCCTGGTGTGTGCTCCACCACACTGTCCCTTCGAAGAGTTAAATAAGGTTGTTTAATTCTGAAAGTAAATATTTTGTAGGAGATTAGTAGGATGTGCACAGTGAGCAGCCATGTCTGCCCTGAGGGAGTTTTAATTTAATAAAGCAGAGTGACAAGATTGTAAGTGATCATTTGGCCCTGTCCTCAGTGCACTTTGGAGAAAATCTTCCAAGCATTGTTTTTTTTACAGGTTAAAATTCAGTGGGTATTTTATTTCTAACATAAAGTGATTAGTGTGACTTGGCCTGGTCTGAGGCTGAGTCTCAAGTTCTCATGTTTAAACAGATTGCCCAGTCTCAGATAGTATGCTTGTTAATGATGCTGATGGACCCTTGATTCTTTATTTTACAGTGACCTCTTAAAAGAGTATGAATTGGGAAGGACACCTAATCCTGATATTGTGTGTAACAAGCACATCAAATTCAGCCACTTTCTGCATTATGCTGTGGATAACCTTGGTAAGGCATTTTCAAATGTGTCAGTACAGAGTGTGTGTGTGGAAATGCCTAAAGGATGTAAAAGGTGGGGAGAAACATGAGTTCGTGTGCATGCCTAACTCACATATCTCTGGGGCAGCATTTCAGTATTTGCAAAGTATTTGGTTTTAACTTTGCTTTTACATATAGGATCATGGAATGGTTCAGGTTGGAAAGGACCTTTAAGGGTCATTTAGTCCAACCTCCCTGCCCTGGGCAGGGACATCTTCCACTAGATTAGATTGCTCATATGTAGGAACAGGTTTAGTTCAGGGACATGCATTGACCTGACCATTAAGTTTTACATTCTTAGGTGGTCCTTAAAGTACAAAAGCACAAGTGCTGGCATGCTGGTGAATATTTTACATTATTTAAATAGCAGGAGTATGATTGTTGTCAGGGTAAGACTTCTCTATGGGTTTTCTTCTTTCATTGCTTTCTGCTTTTCTTACTGGATGTTTGCAATCCCATTTTGAAGTGTGAATATCAAGTAGGTGCCTTTGTGTTTTGTTTGTGTTTTTTTCTCTTTGATAGGAGCAGATGCAATTGCTACTGGGCATTATGCTAGGACCTCGCTGGAGGATGAGGAAGTGTTTCAGCAGAAGCTTAGTAAAAAACCACAGAGGCTTTTCAGAAACCGTTTTGAAGTTAGAAATAGTAAGTGGTGTCTTCATTTCATATTTCATGCTAGATATGAAAGAGAAGTTTAAACTATATTTGGTGTCACAGAATCAGGGATGTTTGTTACCTTACATGCAATGATTGCCAGTTAAACTCAAGCCTTTGTAGCAGGTTGATTGTGCAAAACAGGGTATTTAAATTAGTGAAAGTGACCCTGACTTGTCAAGTATTATGTTTTCTGTTTTAAGAGTCAGATGAATGTCTGATCTGTTGTGAGTAGCGTTCTATACCCAAAGGGAAGGAAACTTGCAAAGTACCACAATGCAAAACTGCCATGGTGATGTTTTTAGTTCCCAGCTTTCATCTGTTTGTTCTGGACTTAAAGGGCTTTATTTGTTTCAGTTTTATTTCTGGAAAGTTGAAATGGCCCCAGCAGGACCAATGGTCTGTGCAAGTGACAGACTGTGATTCACAGTTCTGGTACTTTGGATGTTCCAAACAGGCTTCCTTGGCCTGTTACTGAGATTTGTATTATGAGTTGTGACTGAATTATTGGCCTGTAGTTTGTGTTTGTTGGAATCAAGAAACATATAAGCAGAGTTTGAACAACACCAGAGCTGTTAGCTTTCAAAGAGAGTGGGCAGAACATGACTGAAAAACTGCACCAATTTTATTTCATCTGAGCAATCAGGAGATTGCATAGATTTTAAAAAAAAAGTTGAACTCTTATCTCCACTGATTGTTCAAGTCATTGATTTATAGCAGGGTGATTTCAGGGAAAACAATGTCTTTCTGAAGAACAGCAAACTCTGAGTTATTTAAATCTTCATTCCCTCTTTCATATGAAACGTGCAAGTTGTTTTTGGTTTTGTTAATGTCCTTACCAGTGACACGTGTGCTATTGTAACAGATGAGGCAGTGTAAGGGCTTTGTAAGATTTTGCACTGTACGAAACCGGAATCTTTCTAAACCTTTTTAGTGGTGAGAAAGTACCCAAACATTTTCAATTAGATTTTGAAAAGAACTGTGAAATACTGTCTTTAACATGTATTTTGGAAATAATAAAACTCAAATGTTGTCAAACAATATAATAAAGGAAGTTGAACTATTAATGGTAGTTATTTTGAGATGCTTTATGTGTTTCACTTTGCAGCTGTGAAACTCCTTCAAGGGGCTGATCTCTTTAAGGACCAGACCTTCTTTCTAAGTCAGATCTCACAGGATGCTTTGAGGAAAACCATATTCCCTTTAGGGCATTTAACAAAAAGTTTTGTAAAGAAGATAGCAGCAGAACATGACCTTCATCATGTGCTAAAGAAAAAAGAGGCATGGTAACACTTAAACTCTTTTGATTTGTATTTCTCTCTAAAACAGACTTTCCTGAACCTTTTGAACATTAATCCGTGACAACTTCTCTGTCTCTGAGCACCATAATAGAATAGGTTGGGGAGCATTTTTATAGCTATTTCCTTGAGAGTACTTTTATAAGCTTGTGGTTAGTTGTGTATTTTAGCTTGTAGATGTTTTGCCTATTCTGTATCTTGGAAAAAAATAAGGTGAAGGTGAATGTGTAGGATGCTATGAACCTTAAGGAAACAATCCTCTATCGCAGCAGGGGAGAGGCCTTTGCACTTTATTTTCCATAGCTTTTAAAGACTTCCTCACTATAATTGTTTTTCAGTGTGTCTTGAGAAATTGGATCACACTGTTTTTCCATGGTTACTGTTTAAGAAAAAGCTACAAGTTGTGTTTCTCTGAGAACTCACATTTCTTGAGATGATCCTAAGTAACGTAATGCAGGCAGCAGTTGTGCTGCCAGTGCATGTCCTGATTGCTTTTCATGTTTGTATTTATCCACTGTAAATGGGTATTTGAAGGATGTAGGCAGTATCTGAAAGGAACAGGAAAGCCTATTTGGTTTTGAAAATTTTTTTTCAAGGGATGTACCATTGCTGTATCATTTTGTTACTTTTGTACTTTAATATGAAAGAGACTTCTCTTTTTAATATCCATATGATATAGTCACTAAGGTTAATGTGTTTATTTATTGAACATGTGTTCTATTTTGTACTATATTTCTTATTTTCTGTGCTTACAGTTCTTACTGATACTGTATAGAATTGATTTATGTGTGTTGGAGCAGAAGTTGTGGTTTGTGAGATACCTAGCATAGTTTGGGATGCATAGGAGAAAAAAACTACCATCTTGAATAGATCATTAATGGACATTATTTTAGATGTTCTTCTCTGCGTTTATGATGGATTCAATACCATGTTTCCTTTTCAGAGCATGGGAGTCTGTTTCATTGGTGAAAGAAACTTTGAAAATTTCCTTCTTGAGGTGAGCAACACTAAATCTGTGACAATCTTCATGTTTTGTTCTAGTGTTCAGTTTTTATAACACTGCCTGTAGGAAAATTTCCAGCAGCGTGTGGACCACAGTAAGTAGCAATGGCCCATCTCCCTTTGCAGTCCCAAGCCTGGGCAGAAGCTAACACCAGCAGCCTCTAGGAAGTATCTTGCCCCTTCACCAGTGAACAGCCACTTGCTTTCTGTAGCAAAAGCAGTGAACATCCATTCCTGTGCCTTCCAGGCTCAGACAGATGGTTGGGATGTGAGAGAGGCAAATGGCTGAATCCTACTGTCCCTTGGCATATGTGAGGATGGGGGAGAGTGAATCCTAGAATTTGGGCTGATTCCAACTTTTCTTTCTAGAGCAGCATCAGGGAGGAGTCAGTAAGCTGCTTGCCCAGAGTTTGCTTCTGGAAAATTTATTTTTCAGCTTCAAGAGAATGTAGTGACAGAATCTGAAATAGACTGTGAGGTTTACTTGGGCCATCTTGTGACTTCTGTTTTCTTCTTTGGTAGTATTTGGAACCTCAGCCAGGTAACTTTGTTTCCATTCAAGATAAGAAGGTGATGGGAACACACAAAGGTAATTGGTTAATCCACCCTAATAATTTGCTCTTAGGTAAATGGAGCAATACTGCTTGTATTTGGAGGGACAAATTTTGTGAAATTACAAGGAAATCCAAAGGATTTTCCCATTTTGGAAACTAATAATCATGGTAAACTTGCTTTATAAAATAGCAGAACCTTGAACTACGACTGATTCATGATTATTTGTTGCAAGAAAGTAAATGATAATTTTTAAGGTTACTCTGTTGATCCTAAGTGGTTGTTGGTTTAATGCCAAGAGACCATTGTTCATTTAATTCTTCTGAAATGAGTGTGCTTCAGTTCCAGATTCTTTAGTACCTAAACTTTGCAGAAAAAATACACCATGCACCTCAGTGTTGCACTATAGGACAGCAGCAAACATGGGTAGCTTCACTTCTCCTTTTCTCCTATGTGTCCTTCCTTTGCTCTCCTCAGTTCAAGCTGCCAGAACTGAGTTCCTCTCCTGAGTACATAAAAGTACTGGTACATAAAAGTAAGGGAAACTGGCAAGACTGGATGGTAGCAGAAACACAGATTGAAGCTGAAATAAAGAAATGTTTGTCTTTTATAAAACCTAAGAATACCACAGTTGAAATGGATTGGCTTGAAATCCTGTGCTTCAGGTACAGATGAAAACTTTCAAGTAGATGTTAGGTTAGTTTGCAATTGGGCTACTTCTCTAAGGCAGCTTGGTTTGTTATTCTTTCTTTGGTGGTGAAGTTTTGGGGACATGATTTTAGTGTATTTTGAAAGTAAAAGATTAAAAGTTGCTAACAGCTTTCCATTTTCATGTTTCTTTAGGTTGGTTCCTCTACACAATAGGCCAGAGGGCTAGGCTAGCAGGCCTGAAGGAAGCTTGGTTTGTTGTAGATAAAGATGTCAGCACTGGAGATGTCTATGTGGTGAGTGAGTTAGTTAACACTGGTGTTAACTGGTAATGCATTTTGTGACTGCTGCTGTACAGAATGTGGTTCTAACCTGGGCAGAATTCTTGGCTTTCCTCTTGGGGGGAAACCATAACCAACTCATGTAGCATCAGCAGATGTGAAACATCTTGTCCATACAGGCTTTTCCTGAGTAGCAAATTGTTTTAGAGTTTGGCATGGAACTGTTCCAAACAAAGGGCAAATACTGAAAAGAATCAGCCAGTCTACTGAGCTCTCATTTTCTACTCTAAAGCACAAGGTTCTTATTGTAGTTGTTATGACACAGTAAAACAATTAGTAACCAGTAACACAGTTTGTTTTGAAAGCTGAGGTAGAGTATATATAATACTGCAAGTAATTGATGTGTTAATGGCTAATCATACAAGATGACTTGGAGTTCTGCAGCTTGCTAGCACTGATAATGTTTCTTGCTGTTCATGGGGTTATTATTCTTACTCGATACTGATGTTATTATAATGAGGTGTTCTGCTGCTTATTGATGTGCTGGTGCTGGGGGGACCATAATCAAATGAGACTTGAGAAGAAACAGACAGGACCAGTAAGAAAAAAATTGTATGCCCTGCAGTAAGACTGTGCTTGTGCAGTGTCTGTCAGGGAGGTGTTCAGCTGGGAAATTAGAGAAGAGTAGTTAGCATCTTGTTGAGATAGGATAAAGGAGGAGAGAAGCTTTCTGAACTCAGCCTGGAGAAGGCAGAAATGTGATTGGAGGGGAAAGAATACAAGAAGGGACATGATTGACAGATAGCTCAGGCTTGCTTCAGTCTGTTTTAAATGCTAATAAATGCTTGCTTTCCTACTCATTTTGCCTTAATTTTGATATGGCTTGATGCTTCTTCTATATTTCATGCTTTGCTTTACAAGCTTTCTGGTAAAACCATCAACATTAAATAAACGTGTTTTAAGGCACCAACAAGAGATCACCCTGCTCTGTACAGAGACCTGTTGAGGACAAACCGAGTGCACTGGATAGCAGAGGAGCCTCCTGCAGAGCTCGTTAGAGAGAAGATGATGGAATGTCATTTCAGGTTTCGGCACCAGATGGCACTGGGTAATCAAACTTGTTTGACTCAGCTTGTGGAACTCTGTGTTCAGTGTAGTTTTGCAGAAACAGTTGAAATGTTTTGTCTTGCCTTTCTGTCTCTGCAGTGTCTTATAAAACAATTCTGTAGAGTATTATCTTGACTTAGATCTGTTTAACCTAGTGATAAAGGTTTTTCTCTTTCTTATGTGAACATAAGAATTAACTGTCAGGTGTTTGGTCATCTTCTGCTCTAGTGCCTTGTGTCCTGACTCTAAACCAAGATGGGAGTGTGTGGGTGACACTAGTGAAACCAGCAAGAGCTATCACACCTGGGCAGGTAAGTTATTAGATGTTGTTTTCTTTCCATTTTTGCATTTTGGCTTATCTGACTTATAATAAACAGAGTCATTTTTTTAATAGCTGGAGCAAAGTAATTACTTTGTGAGAGTGGTTAGCTCTATTTTGATTATTCATCTCCTGTTTTGAACAAGATTTGTTTATAGTTTTAAGTGGTCTGTTGTTATCCATTTAGTCTGAGAAACCTGCTTACAAGTTTTAGAAATACATGAAAACATGACTTGTTGCAGGAATGGAATCTGTGGTTACCCAGAAATCGATTTTAAAAGCCAGTAGTTTGGTAATTGGCTGCTTAGTATGGGTTTTGTGTTCAAATCTGTTTAGTGAGAATCTGTCCAGTGAATTTCATTGTCCTGGAAGAGTACTGAGATGAGGTACTATGTAGGGAAGCCTTTTAGCATCGCTGATGTAAAGATACTCCATCACATCCCAAACCAGTGGTTCTCAAACACTTCCTGCATACTTTCTCCCAGCATGTTCTACCCTTCCCTGAGAGTATTGACTCACGTAAGCCCACAAATCCTCTGTGACTCAGCAAGCTTGGAGGAGACCTCTAAGGTCATTGAGTCCAACCATTAACCTGCCACTCTGCTGACCCCTAAACCATATTCCCAGTGCCAGATTCAGATGCCTCTTAAACACTTCCAGGGATGGTGACTCCATCACCTCTCTAGGCAACCTATTCCAGTGCCTGACGAACCTAACAGAGAAAACATTTTTCCTAACATCTAATCTGAATCTGCCCTGTCTCAGCTCAAGGCCATTCCCTCTAGTCCTCTCCCTTCAGCCATGGCAGGTGAGATATCCCCCACCTCTCTACAACCCCTGCCAGGTAGCTGTAGAGAGCCATGAGTGAATATAAATGACTGTGCTCACTATACAGCAGGTCTTGCACAGCCTGCAGTTGCTCCCCATGCTGTTTGAAGCTGCCAGAAAGACTCTCTCTGTGTTTGTCTCCTAGTTTGCTGTTTTCTACAAGGGTGACGAGTGCCTGGGCAGTGGGAAGATCCTGAGGGTGGGCCCATCAGTGTATACCATGCAGCAGGGCAAAAACCGAGAGGAGAGTGCAAAGAAGGAAGAGATCGACAAAATAGAACCAGCAACATAACACGTGGGATTGTTTATTGAAGGACTGTGCAGAATTTGCTGTCTGAGAATAATAAAACTATAATAAATGTGGGGTTTGTTGGTCTGTATGTTCTTAAGATTGGTTGGCCACAGAGTCCCAGCTCTTCACTGTTAGCGTTGAATGGGTTTAAAACTAAAGCCAGTTTGGTGCAATTTTGCTGGACTGTTGGTGATATGTATCAAGGGATGTCTTGAAGTTTTCTGTAATAGTAGTTGCACATACAAGAATTTTAATATAAAAATCATGTCTGAAATCATAAATCTTTTATGTGTAAGTTAAATGCTTTTTCCCCCATTACTTAAAGGTACCTGTCCCTAATAAAACGTGTGTTCTTTTACACTAAATGTTTGTGCTTTGAACTCCAGAAAAGGAATGAATGCTGTTTAAGTTCAGCATTTTGAACGAACTCTGAGCATCAGATACTTACTTTTCATTTTATATAGGTTTTTAAGAAAGTATTTGGATTCTTAACCTGTATTAAGTAGTAGGTTCAGATGTTTATATAATTCAGAATTACAAAATTTAGGGGCTTAAAAACAGGCCTGAATGTTAAATGTTTTCGCACAACTGACTAATTTTTGGTCAACTGCTGAGGGTCCCATCCAAATTATCTATGTTACTAAGGCCTGGATGCACATTGAGGACACCTGAAGCTTATAATAAAACTTTATTACAGCAAGTCCACAAGAATGAGTTTGTGTCTTTCAGCCTGGTACTGGAAGGTAGGCTGTCCCTAAGTACAGCTGTGCAGGAGCAGGATTCTACACCATGTGGGTGTAGAATTCTGAGAGCTGCATCAGTTTCCTTTGCAGTAGGAAAGCTGCAGCATGAATAGACCTTTTCAGCAGATCTGATGGTTGGATTACATGTACATCCTTTTCTGCTGTCTTGGTATCTTCTAAGAATTCCTTTTATTTCTTCTAAGAAAAGTAAAAGGGGAGAAGACTCTTCAGTGTCTATGTGCCGGTCTGGCAGAGTTAAACATAGTTCAGGGAGCTCTATAGAAAAAAAAACTAGACTTAAAATCTGACTTGGCATTACAGCAGATCTGTAGAAGAAAAGCCATCATTTTTCATTGGTGCCAAAATTGGTGCTCTCACTTTTGAGGCTCAGGGACTTCGACTTTTATCATCAGAGCTGAACCTCATAGTTCTGGTGAAGAATGCTCTTTTGAGGAAGAGGTGAGTAGGGACAGTGTTTGGTTAGTACAGACTCATTGAGAAGGATGGAGGCTGTTTCTTGGCTTCTGTGCAGCTCAGCCTCTTGCTGTGATGATAAGCAAAGACCTTTGACATGATGAAGTGATTGCTGCTATTGCTCCCAGTGAACCTCAACCATACTGCTGGGAGCTAGGAATTAGCATTTGTGAAATTCCAATTGCAAATAGCTTCTTGCATGGGATGTTTCTCAACAGATTGCACACATCCAGCAACACAACACTTGCATGTTTAAACCAGCATTTCCAAATAGCTTGTACTGTTCAGAGGGGGTGGTACATTTCTCTTTGCATCACATGTGCTTCTCCTGGCTAAGGGTCTTAACTACTGACTTCCTGCATGAGATCCTTCCTTGTCTCGTATGTAGGGTCTTTGTCCAAGGCATAAGGATGCAGTTTCTCAGAGGCTTCTGGCAGAGTAGCCTATAGAGGCACATTTCTATTGCTGGAGCTGGCTGTTAACCTGAAAGAAGAGCAGCACCATCGCCATTTCTGACTGCACTTTTAACGAGGGTGGTGGTTTCAGTAACACCAGTCTGCCCAGTAGTGTGAGAGCAGTGCCTGAATCCCATGCTCCAGCCTGCCCCAAGGCTTGCAGCCTGGCCTGGCCCGGCCCAGGTGAAAAGGCACAGGGGCACAGCTATAACAGCTTGGAAACAGGGAGGTAAAAGAGTGAGGTGAGAGTGGAGATTGGTGCTGGGGTCAGGCAGCTGTGCTCCCTACGAGGGACCATCACTGACACCATCACTGACACAGACTTTGCCAAGGCTGGAATTTGGCCAAGGTCAGGATTGAACTGGGTAAGAGCAGTCTGACTGGCAGGTGAATTCTCTTTTTTCTCTATTGCAGAAGGTTAGCATCAACATGTTTTTAAAGATTTATCGACTTTTCACTTTTTTTTGGTCATTTTTTCTGCCACTTTGGGCAACAAATTTCAAGCAAGTGATTTCACTTTCAAGTTGTCATTAAGCTCTTCAGGTCTTGAAATATTTGGTTTCAAAGACTCATGTGAGTATTTAGAAAAGGACTTTTCCCTTCCAAAGTAGAGAATGTGATAACAAGATTAGGATCATGTAACTGAAAAACTACAACTCATGTCAGCTAAGGCTGGGACTGAACTGAAATCTCTGTTGTGCCCTGTGGATATGTTTGAAGCCTGTGTTGCTTGAGTGTATAATGGCTGAAAAATTGCACTCCAAGTACAGTTTTATTCCAGAAGTGCTTGTGTAAAACCTGTCTTAATTGCACTCCTGATTTCGCTGCCTCTTGGCAGTGCTCCTGCCCCAAGTGGTGCTGCAAAGCTAGGGCACAGGGCTGTCCCCATGAGAGGGGAGCAGGGCTGCTGTCTGCCTCTGTTTTCACCGGGCTAGGACCTTTGGAGCGCTGAGACATCTCACCGGTGTGGGGAAGGGCTTCATTCACACTGCGTCAGGGCAGGACTGACAGCCCAGCAGTAAAAGCGTTGGATCTTAGTGTTCACATTGGCTTGTGGGACTGAGAGAAGCTTTCGTCCTCCCACTAAAATTAAATGTTCATGTGCTTTCTCTTTTAGCTGCAAACTACAGGGAACAAAGCTGATGTTACTTCTATAAAGCTCTTTAGAATAGAGCTATCTTTTCAGCATACTTACAAGCAAAACATAACAGTTTTTTGGATGCAACATTTAAATTCATACTCATGTATATATTGCAATTCAGTCCCTGTGGACAAGGCTTGAACTCTCCCTGGAAGCTGGGAGATGACTGTGCAGCCTCAGCCCTGCAGGGAATGAGATGGGACTGGAGTGAAGGCTCACAGCACAGTTTTCACTGCCTGGATTTCAGGGTCGTGCTGTTTCAGGGTTTCAGAGTTAAGGGTGCAACTTCCCCTTCCACCTTTATTCCCACATTAGAACTTTCAAATCTCTCTTTGTCCAAACAAACCCTTTCAGCTTGGAGACTTCAGCATAGTAAGGTCTGGCGAGGGTCTCTGCTGTCACTGCTTTGGTGCTGGGTTTTGCAGCTGGGGATGTCAGAATGAGCTGCAGGGTCATGTCAGTGTCACCAAACATCAAGTCAGGCCATGGGAGCATGCAGCAACCTCTGCTCTGCAGCTATGCCTTCTGCCTGCTGGATCTCCTTCAGAAGATGGAGCACATGGTACGGAGGGTGCACAGCTAAGTGAGTCTCCTGGTTGCTCTCCATCAGCACATTACTCTCTTAGTCTCACTGGGAGCTGCCACCAGAGATCACAGAATCATCAAGGTTGGAAGAGACTTTCAAGATTATTTAGTTCTAGCATGACAATAATCACCCCTAAACCATATCACCAAGTGTCACATCCAGATGTGTCTTGAATGCTTCCAAAGGTGGTGACTCCACCACCTTCCTGAGCAACTTATTCTAAAGCCTAGCCTAACACTCAGTGAAATTTTTTTTTTCTAATAAGATGAAGCCCTTCCATCTGCTGCCTGCTGGTCCTGATACTAATGAGGGTTTCTTCAGCACCTCCAGAGGTCTGGTGAGCTGGAAGCCACGAAGAAGCTTCTGAAGGAAAGAGACTGTTCAAAGGAAGAGGCAACTGTGAACAGCTGATGTGGAGTGAGTTGCAGTGAAAACACTGTATGTGGGCTGAGGAGCTGGAGCCAACTGATCTGGCAGTAAGGACAAGTACAGAGCAGAGAAAGTCAGGTTGAAACAGAAGATTTGTCTGAATGCCTTAGGTGCTGATTTCTTTAAACAAATCCTGATTGTTTAATTTCTCCACGCAAAGAAAGGCCAATAGCCCTGACTGCTACCAAGGCCAAAAAAACCCCACACCCCTAAACCCAACAGGTAAACAAATGCCAAAGATTTATATTCCATGTAAGAAATAGGGATAAAAATGAATACTGGACTAGTTCCTTGCCTTCTGGACTGGAAAACGTGTGTGTTACGAGCATGGTGGTAGCGTGCACAGCTGGGAGATGATGGTGACCACAGGTGAGGAAGACATCCCACTGATGAGGAACATCATGACAATCATGGCACAGTTTATGAATACAATTATAAAAACACTTCCTCGGCATTTATGTGTATTTACATGCTTTAATGAATTGAACAAAATCAAATTATCTATGATGAATGTGATAATGACACCAATGATGCAGGGAACTGATGTGCCATTTCCAGCTTCAGCACCAGGAGGCACCAGGAGATCACGTTCATCCCTCCCAACGGCGGACAACGTTGGGAGATGTCGGCCACAGGAAGAGCAATTAACACATCCATAATTGTGAATTTTTCCCTTCTTTTCAAGATTTTTGTTAAGCCAATACTTTGGAAGAATTGCCCTTTGGTGGGTTTGCACACAGCAGGGGTGAAGCCACCCTGTCATTTCAGCACACCCATGAGCTGGCTGAGGAGCAGCAGTTTTTTTGAACCAAACACCCAGTGGGGCTAGGCAGAGACCAGGGTACGGGTCAGGCCAGTGGTAGTCCCAGCAGCAGGGCAAACGAGACCAGGGTACGGGTCAGGCCAGTGGCAGTCCCAGCAGCAGGGCAAACACACTTTTTAGCTAGAGCTCAGGTCCTGCCTGCCCTTCATCCCCAGTGCTGAGCTGTTGCTGGTCATTAGCTTTCCTGGTCACTCTTAAACTTCATCTGGCTCTTGAATTCAGCCTGGAGGTAAATGGGAGATTTATTTTATTTTCTTTGGGGAATATCACTAGATTCTTACACTTACTTGGGTGTGTGAGGGCACTGATGAACACTAACTTCTGGGTTTGGTATGCTGAATCTCTGGGA